ACAAGTCCTGATCTCTTGCCAGCATTGTAATCCACCCCCTCCCGCCTCTCAACCACACCACACCACTTAGATAGAAAGTGCCCAGAACTAGCCCTCAGGATCTGGGCTCAGCCCAGAGCTGAGTGTTCCATCAGAGTCACCCTCAGCCGGATGCCACCCTGGCCAGTGCAGCCAGTGCTCTGGGATTTAAGTGGCAGGCGAACACATAGGTTTTTGCATTCCCAAACTTGCCCAATCCCAGTCACCCTCACCATCCAGAGCTGAATATTGGAGCCCTGCATGGGCCGGCCCTTCCTTCGTGAGGCCCCTGAACCAGTCAGTGTTCACGCTCAGATGCCCTCGCTTCATCCAGGCTAATGAGGGTTGGGGAATTGTCCTTTGTCTGGAGCCAAATGGGTCTCCCAGCTGCAACTGTGTCCTTTTTCTCTTTGTTCGTGTACTGGGCCCCCTCATAGGGGTTAAAGCCCAGATCAGACAAACTGCCTTGGCAACTCTTATACTTGCTGCTAGAAAACAGGGTAAACGCAAACAAACCCACATGTTGAGAGTGCGTGTGTGTGATGGCTCCTACATGTGACAGGATATGAAGGAGGCGTGGAAATTTCTATAGATACCCAGGAATCTGAAGCTCTCTGCCATGCTGGTCCTACAGGCTCAGGAGAGGTCTGTCCTGGACTTGAGCCTCTGAGGGACCACCACAATGATTCAAAATGTTCCTCAAGTCTCTGTCTCAGAAGTCAGGACAGACCAAACCAGTCACCGCCTTGTCCCCATGGCCCTATACAACTGCTACCTCTCCCCCTCTAGTCATGATCTCTATCCTCCCTGGCTCTCCCCTCACCCCTGACCTCTACTGTCCCCTGCAAGTGGGCAAACCTCCCTCAGACCTTCTCCTCCATTTATTTCAGCTACTTCTGAAACTTCAAATCTTGATCTCATTTTTAAGTTCACACACTATAAAATCCCCTCCTGTTAAATGTGTGTGTGTGTGTGTACATAAATCTCACAATCATAGATACTCCATAGAATAATTCCTACCTATCAGGGAACTCTCTCATAATGTCCCTTTAAATTTAAACTGTTCCTTCACCTCTATGCTCTGACAAAGACCTGTTTTCCGATTTCCCCCCCCTTTCAGAGCATGGGACATGCCCTACATGGAATGTGGGCAAATACCCTGTTGACCAGCTTCTTTCCCTGTGCTTAACCCTCTGGGATTCTCTGCGCTGTTGCTTGAGTCCCATGTGCTCCCTGTTAGTGCTCCCTGCATCTGGTCCATTGTGCAGCTGCACCATAGCTGCTCTGATCTGCATGCGCTCCTGTTAAAGTGTCGGGTGGTTTCACTTCTTGGTGATGATAAAAAAAAATGATGCTTAGATATTCATGTGCAGAATTTGTATGAACCTAAAGTGTTTCCACTTCTTTAGAATAAACAGCCTGTGGTTAATATGTGTGAAATCGCCTTTCCTCTGCATGGTTCCCTCTCTCTGACCATTCATTGAGCCATAATCCCATCCCTGGTTTTCATGTACCATCACTTCCTAATTGTTTGCCTTTGCTCATCCCACGACTTAGATTTCACAGTCCACCGGAATGCATTCTTATTGGAAAAGTTATTTATTTTGTGTGTGATGGGAAGGCAGGGATACTCCTGCTGCGGTGTGCATGTGGGGGTCAGAGGACAACTTGTAGGCCTTGACCCACTGAGCCATCCCACAGGCGCTCTCTGCCACAGTAAGTCTCTCTCCAGCACCATCCTGGTTGAGCCCTTACCCTGGTAGACTCAAGTTTTTTGTCTATTTCCATTAGAACAGAAAGACGTAACTGGAGGAAAATAGGTCCACATTGGACCACACCTCTGCATTACACCCCTGATGTCGACCATCAACCCAAGCTTCTAACATGACTAGTTCATGCTTGTATCTCTTCAAACATCAGCCAGCCCCGCGCTCTCTCTCTCTCTCAGCTCATGGTTTGCTCCCTAGAGGATGGGAAGCAGCCAGACTGGAGCTAGTCATCCTCGTCACACCACTAATTCCACCTGATTATGTCCCCTGCCCATTCTCTGCTGTCCCTTCGTCAGAATGATGTGCTGCCTCTATCCAGAGCCATCCCCTCCCCCACCCCCATGTCCCATCGGCTTCTCTCAGCACCCACCCCATCTTTCCTTCATCTTTGCTCTTGTGAATATTTCTTCTCTTTTCTGCCTTTATCAAGTGCTCCCACCACCACCGCCATGTAAACATTTCCTAATATGGATGGACCATCCGTAAACACAACACCCCCCCCCCCACCACACACACTGAAAAACCAATGAGCTTACAGCTGGGAGAGCTGATGAACATGATCTCAGTTGAGGGGTCAAGGTTCACATTGGCCATGATAAGTTGTGATGATGACATGTACCCCTTGGAATCCATTGAGACTTCACTGCGGTTACAGAGGGACCAAGTAGTTCCCTTATGGGTCACTGGGTTTGAAGGAGCATTTTGAAGATGCAGAGGTGGCATTTTGATCATTGTAGAACTGGAAAGTACCCTTTGGAGATGAACAGGAAGAGGCTGGAGACTTGGAGACTATACTGGGGAATAGGTAGTGTGTGGGAGTTCCTATCTACTGGCTAAGGAATTGGTCCCTGTCCCTATGATGCTAGCCTTGGTCTGTTCTCAGTCCTGCCTCTCAATCCCAGTAGAACTGTAAGTAAGTCACTTATAAGCTTCACTTTCCTGGGACTCAGTCTCCTAAGCTATAAAATATGGACGCTTGATAACTTAGAGAATGAGGTTTGGTTCAGGGCTCTCTAGGCTCCTGTCAGCATCCACAGCCAATCTGTGTTAACACATCTAGCCTCATCCATCTCACTGTTCCTGCACTAACCCTGCCTCAAGGAAGAAAGAACAGGTTAATCTGATCACTCTTCTACAGAGTATACATTCTTTTTTCACAAAAGTACAGGATGGACAGGCAAAGAGGAAAAGGCAGGTGATGGTTGCAACCTAAACACCATAAAGGACTACATCATGTCTTCAGCCAAACCACAGCTCAGCATTTGGCCAGTTTGTCTGCACTGAGGGGATGGGGCTGGCCAAGCTCTACAGGGCCAGTAGATTCTCTTGGTACTCCAACCTTGCATTTGTGTTCCCCTCCCGGAGAGAGGGTACTAGCTAGGATGTGGAGATAGCATGTACCACTGAGGGGAGAACACACCTATAGGCAGAAGGCACTCAAGGGGCTCAACAGCTGTCACTTCTGTGTAGGGACCTGGTTCTGGGGCTGTGTGCATCACATGTAGGCACATACCTGCTCCTAAACCACAATATGCAATTGGGAACAGTCAAGCCAGTATTCTCTAAATACCTTGAGACAAAATTTGAAGCAGTGCTGGCTGAGGTGGGCTCTGTGCCTTGTGCTTATGTGATGCAAAGGAGACCAAATTCCTACTGCCCCGTGGGGACAATGACATCCTTATGCTTCCCCTTTTCTTGCTTGTTGGACTTGGAAGTCAGAGATATTGGACACTGTCCCCCACTCTACCAGAGCCTGGTAGGTCAACCACAGTTTTGGGTGTATGATTAAGGCCAGATACTTTGCCCCAGGACAGCATTATAGGCTCCTCAGGCCCTATGAAGTCACTGGGACCCAGGAGAGTGTTCCTCCAGGCTCGAGTCCTGAATTTGCTCATGCTCTGAGTTGATCTGGGACTCAAGGTGAAGTGTGTCATCCTCAGAAGAGCTTAGGAAAAGAGCAGGTGACATTTGCAGGAACCCTGAGATGGCAGATTCAGGTAAGGAGGAGCCTGGCAGGGACCAGACAATCCAACTCAAGGTTCAGAAACCAAGCAGACCAGAAGCAAAATACCCAGAAGCTCTGGGGTCAAACTAGGACTGGAATGTCATTTATCTTTTTAAAATTCCCTTTTAGATTTATTTATTATTTTATATGGTATGTGTGTTTTGCTCACATGGACATATGTGCACCGTGTGCATATCTGGTGGCTGTGGTGGTCAGAAGTGGGCATCAGATCCCCTGGGACTGGAATTACAGATAGTTGTGAGCTGCCACATGGGTGTTGGGAATCCAACCTGAGACTTTTGGGAAAGAGCAAGTGCTCTTAATCACAGACCCAGCTCTTTATCTCAGACAGGACTTTTCTATTTGAAATTGTAAATGGGCCCTAGCATAAGATATATCTTATAGCCAGCTTTGGGGCCCGAGGAGAGCAGCACTAGATGTGAGCTGTATGCATCCTAGAAACAAATGGGGACATGTGAAAACCACCGAGTCCTGGTCCCCTCTGCAAGATGCATACGCACAGCATCCCTTAGGCTGATGGATGCTAACAAGGTAACAATGAACCAAAGACAGGAGTACAAGGGGATGCTGGGGCACTGGTCATAGGGCCTTCTTCCTCCTCTCCCCCCATCACTCCAAAAAGATCCCCCATTTGATCACCAGCAGAGTGACTTTGACGGAAGTCATATTTGGAATAGGGAACCCATCAGTTCCATGCCTAGTGCTGGCCTTCTGCTGTGTTCTGTCTCTGGCTGAAGTCGTCTTTTTCTCTTCAACCTACCGTCTACCTAGGAAGACCTTGACTACACATTGAAGTCCTCCTTGACCTTGGCCCAAGATGCCCTTCTCCTTGGAACCTCTGCTGGATGTACGGCACGAAGACACAAGGACCAGAACACTCCTCAGTGCCTCATGTGGATTTCTGAAGGTAGAGACCATGGCTTCTTCCCTTCGTTTCTACCCTACACAGGAGAGGGCCCTTAGGTAGACTATCTGCAGAAATACAGATGACAGTGAACAGTGTCTGACCTTGGGCACTAGCCAGGTACAAAGGTTTTCTTTCCTTCACCAAACTTGTGGGCTGGTATCAATCATCTGATCCAGCTTGGTTCCAATGTTCATTTTCCGTATGCCATTAGATAAGGACTTTATTTTCCACTGGTATAGCCCATGACAAATGCACAGGAAACAAGAGGCACCAGCAGGAATAGGATCAGAATACTTTAATAAGATATCAGTGTCAAAATACATTTCCTTATAAAGTTAAGCTCCCATACAGTTATAATGTCGTCAGTAGGAATTTGACAATGCAGTAATGTTCACGAAGTTGTTACATCGACAGGAAAGGTTAATATGAAGCTCGGAATATTTCTCAGATTTTTTTTTTTTTAAGTAAAACTGCAAAGGGAAAATGCCCTTAACGCTGAGGCAACAACACAGGAAATCAAATACCAGCATCATTTACATGTCAATAACCCTTCAAGTTCTGTCCCTGTGTGTCAGGCCACACTGTGCACCAATGTGCGACTTGGACAACACCGTGCCTAGGTAGATTGACTTTGAAAGTTAATTTTTGGTTTGAGCAGTAAGTCCTTTTAGGCTGACTGCATTCTGGCCTGATGAGATTCATGTGTATTTAAAGTTTATTGTACCCAAGTCAACAATGTCTTCTGTCGATTGGTATCGCACACTGGAAAGGTGGCCTCCCTCTTCCCCAGTGAGTTACAAAGTGCTCTGGGGACACTATTTTCAGTGCTTCCTACCTATTCACATCACTTCACGTGACTGAGACCTCAGCTAGGGGCTGTCCCCAGAGGTCTGCCTGCTGCTCTCCAACAGGCGGTGCTGCACCTTGGCTTTGCAGGGCCATGTGCCCTGCAAGCTGTGGGGTGTGGCGGAGGGCAGACCTGGTGCCATCTCCCAGTTAGCTCCAAGAACTGGGTCACTACATTATTTGTGAATTCCCACTCAAACCATTTCATGGTAGCTGTGGAAATACCCCAGTGTGCCGCATGCATGGAGAGACAGGTAGGGTCACATAGCTCAGTGGACTTGAAGGGCTAGCAACACCACCCAAACAGAGTAAAAACGCATCCTTCCCATCCCCCGACGTGCCATCAAAGCTCTCGTGGCAGCAATAACAATGCATACGTACATAATGCACAGAGAACATGAGAACAGAAGATAGCCGCAAATGCTTGCCCCTTAATGACTCCACCCCTGGGATTGTTTATCACACCTATGGCCTATCACAAAAGCAAAAAAAGGTCACCAGAGAGAGAGGATCCATAACTGTTAGTATAGGCTTGCGGGGAGTACTGTGCAGTTCTCTGGTGTCTAGAGCACTGAGGAAAATGAAAATAACAGCCCTAGAAAGACCTTAAAAGTGATTTTGTGAGCAGGATTCCATCTCTAAGTTTTTAGATATTACAAAGTACCCATATATATGATAAACACTAAACCCAGATATAAATTTTCCTTAAAAAAAAACCCTCAGTTTTGCTTTTGAGTAATAATAATAAAAAATCCACTGAACCTGGGGGTGGGATGGGGGGACGCCACCAAATGGTTCAGGAAGGCCACTGTGTAGCATCACAGGTGACCCTGGAGTTCACCCTTCACATTTGCTTTTTTGCCCCATGAGTTGTATCAAAACCAGAGCATGGAGTTGGCTTTTTAAAAACAACACTAAATTTTACAATATGGTGATTAGGGGTGTGTGTGTGTGAGAGAGAGCGCATCCGCGTTGGAGCTTGGAAAGGGAAAATCCTTTTCTCTTTGGCAACAACAATGACAAAATCACTTCAGTCGAGTGAAGCCAAAGCCTTCCCTAACAGGAGAGCCAACATCCTCCATACTTGTTAGTACAGATACCGAGTGAGAGAGAAACCTTTGGGGAATATAAATTAGAGATAATTCAAGGGAGGGAGAGGGAAATCTTACAAAATTTAGGATGTTTTCATCGACGGTAAAACAACTATGTATTTTTTAAAACACGGATAATAAAGTGAGCATGTCAGATAAAGGCCACTGCTTGGTGACCTGGGCAAATCAGCCAGGTCAGTACATCTCTTAAGTGTGCTGGTGTTAGATATACCTAGTTGCAACACAGACGGAAGGTGAAGCTGACAGGACTAGGTGGCAGGGCAGGAACATGCCCAGCCAAAGGCCCTGGCTCAGGTGGCCTGGTCCAGAGCTCTGAGAAGGTCTCTCCCTTGCAGGAGTGTGGAACTTCCTGGCACGGGGACATTCACCTCACAGTCATATCTGGTCAGTTCTGGCAACAGGTAAGGCTCGAACGATGGCCCCAGCAGTCGATTTGCCATGCCTGCAAGAAGGGAAGGGGATTTTAAACCCAGGCACCGACAGTACCTACTCCACTGTAGACAATCAGGGAGAAGGTCTGTGTCTCCAGGTGCCACAGCCCTCTTGACCTGGTTCAGAGGATGGAGCCAGAACTCATCTCAGCAGTGCTGGGACCCAAGAAAGGCAGATGCAGCAACAGGGGTCTCATAGCTTAGGTACAGAGAGATATCTGGGTGGTCTCTCATTCCTGGGAGACCCCTTTTTCCCCTTCTTGCCTGCACTCGTATGAATAGATGTCCCACCCCTTGTTAATTTCACCTCTTCTTTCAGTCATGGCCAGAAAATGATCTAAGTTGAAGTTAGTTTTGCTTCTGTTTCAACTGCCAGGGAAAGCCTTTGTTTGCTGACTACTGCTGACCAGATGTATGGGAGGTTTGGGTGAGGGGTGAGTGACACATGATTCTCTCCTTTAAACTTTTGGGCTTGACAGCCCACCTGCTGCTCAGCAGGGCTGGAATATCAAAGCCCAGGGCTTTGGGGGTTCCACAGACTGAGAATACCACTATAAATTTCTCCCAACTAGATTACAGCAGACAAGGCTCCAGCACTCCTTGCCACGCCCCCCTCCCAAAAAAACCCAAATTGTTTGTGCCCAGCAGAGGGAGGCCTCTGTGGGAACACATCTGTATGTCAGTGGCAACAGCTGAACTTTTCCAGATCTCCAGGCTACCCTCCTGTAGTGATGCCCAACATATTGTGTGCATACAATATGATATTAAGGCAATGAGGAACAAAGGAAAAGACATAGACTTGCAGTCTTAAGGTGCCAAGAGCCTGCAGGTGACCTGATCATTGGAGGAGTCCTTCTACAATCCCATAGACACAGTCTTCCAAGCCCACCTTCCCGGAGCTGTAAGCTTGTCTTTGCATACCCCTTTCCCATAGCAGCAAGCTTGTCTTTGCGTACCCCATTCCACACCAACCGTCTTCCTCAGCAGTCCATCCCAGCCTTGGGCTCCTCACCATACTAGGTACGTCCTTCTCCGGAAGCCTCCCTAGCCTGAATTAGAACTAACTGTAGCTTTGCCCTCTCTCTGTGCCCATACACATCCAGAGAGCCCTTTCTCAGTTCAGATTCTCATTGAGGGGGCCTTCAAGGGGCTCTTTGAACAAGTCATTGTCAAACACTTCCTGGGCCTGGTACCATGCAGGTTCTAGCTAGCCCATGCTCATGCAGCCAGCTGGTTGTACGAGCCCTATAGACTGTCACTAGTTGCCCCAGACCTGAGCAGAGGCTCTGAACATGGCCTGCAATCCTGCTGCATGAGTGGCTGCTTCCCAACGTCCTGCCCCGTGAGGCCACCTGTGTGCATCAGGCCCTGGGTAGAGTGAGAGCTCCCAAACACTCACCTGACACCTTTTGGGCTCCTGGAGGACTGTAGTCCTGGAACTGGGAGGCATAGCACTGTAGTGGGAACCCGCTCTTGGCATTCTCCCCTGGGCTCACAGCAGATGGTGGCTGTGGGGGTGGCAGATGTCTCAGTGGCTGGCCCAGGCCTCGCACGGATTTTTGGGTGAATTCATCTGGAGGATCCAAGCCAGAGAGTGAATGTGGTACCGGCTGATGGGATAGATGACAGCTCTCAGCCTGCTTTTTCTTTTCAGAGGTCATGTAGAGACCTTAATATCTGGAGCCCACTCCCGGCATGGGCCCTGAGCCTCTGACCTTCCACTAGACCCCTGGTCCCGGCCTGCTTACCAGGGGCCATGTTCGCACTGATGGTCTTGTCAGGCATCAGAGGACAGGTCCCTCCCATGAGGCTTTTCATACGTTTCCACATCAGATGTGAACTGCTGCTGGCACCCGGAGGATCCCCCTGCAGACGTGAAGTGTAGCTGGAGGAAGAGGGCCGGGGAGCAGAGTGGGGTGGGGTGGGGGTACCACACAGATCCAGCCGGTACAGACACAGGGAGGTGCTCACCACTGGACTGAACTGTCTGCATCTCTGCCCTAGCCTGGCCTCCTGCCCAGCAGGCTGAGATGCCCATGGTGTTCATGGTGAGGAGATGGCTTACCCCACTTGTATCTTGGAAGGCTTGTTCCTCGTATTCCAGCTGGCGCTTTAGCTTCAGCTTGTTGGAGAGGGCTATCATGGCTGGGCTCATCATGTATGGGCCACGAGCCCCAAATTCCTTTGCAGACCTGCCACATCCCAGAAGAGAGAATAGGTGTGACAGAGTCTATGGCCTCCCACTGCCTGGTGTCTTCACTAGGACCCAATACTTAGGACGATGGTAATTTATGGACCTAGGATTCTGAGCACCAATGGGCCTGAACAGCTGTGGCTCCGCCCTGTTCCTTTACCTGGTGAGATGCCAAAGCATTCCAGTCACCTATACCTCCCTCCACACCGCTGTCTACCTTGACTATGCTCAGGTAGCCCTGTCCTCACGGGTGGCTGTCCTGCTAGCTAGATGATGTCAGTCTCTATAGGATTTCGGTTCAGTGCCTCCCACTGAGGACCACCTGGGGTCCTTTATTACAAAGGACGCACACTCTAGACAACACACCCCCGCTTCTGGGAATGCTGGCACCTGCACGTGTCCCGCAGGAGCTCTTGGGTAGAAGCCTGGGATGGTGGGAAGCACCGGAGTATGGGGAGAATGAAGAAATTGTCTCTCAAATACCTATCTGTGCCCTAAGGTAAGTGAAGTACCTTTGGGGTGATCCAAAGATAGACACCAGATACTCAATAAGCCCTTCTTCCTTTCTTCGGGGGTTTTGGCTTTCAAATGTCATTTCTCTAACTAGGTAGGAAGGAAGCAATGCCAGCTGCTTGCAAAGTGAGGGCATAGGGTGGGGCGGGAAGCCTATGTGGGGCTCCAGAGCGCCCACTAGTGGGTGTGGACTGACAACTCCTCCCTGTCCAGTAAGGTCCCTTCCATCAGGCTTCTGTCACTGACCTCATCTTGAACATGGAGACATGTGGTGAGGTGTTGGGAGGCTCCAACTGTGATGGCCCCAATGTCAGAGCCCCCAGCGATTCAGGGTTCTGGTTGCCCACAGGCCACTTGGTGGGCCCGAAATGTAATGGTGGGTCTGGAGGCCACTGAGTGTTGGATCTGCCTCCCATAGAAGAGAGAGGAGTGCTGGCCTGGCCACAGCAGGGGGGCAGGGACCCTTTGTTCCCAGGGTCAAAGAAGATGGAAGACATGGGCCAGTGCTCAGGCTCCGTCTTCCTGCTCTCCAGCTGCTGCGGGTACTTGTCCAGGAAGAAGGGGCTGTGGGTGGCCCCCGGGGCTAGTGGCTGAAAGATGCTTGTCATGGTGCTGAAGCAGTGCTGGGCACTGGGCTGGGGGCTCTCTGGCACGTGAGGCTCCTCCGGGCAGATGGGGCTTAGCTGGAAGTCCTCCCCATCCATCGGGATGTAGGGTGCCAGCGTCTCCAAGTCCAGCTCATTGAAATCCGTCTGAGGAGATAATAGAGCAGAGCTCATGTCCTTTCCAGGCCTTTCCAAATGGTCTCTCCTCCATCCGCACGCTTCAGTGGGAAACTCAGATTTGCCACTGAGGGCGCAAGGATTCCTGTACTGGGTGCTCCCACCCCTGACCTGCAATGTCTTCTCACTCCATTCTCTTTCAGTCAGGCAAGCTCCCTGCTTCTGTTGCGTGGGCTGCCCCCTTATGCTATTCTTGCTACACCTGAGTTCCTGAGATGAGGGGCAGCTTACCTTCACTTCCCTCACAAGCCCTGTAAAGAGACTGCCACTGTCACCTGCAGGTACTCAGAGACACCCCTACCCCATAGTGTTCCCATTGTCACAAGAGAATACCCATAAACAGAGACACAAGCTGTGGTGACAGTTAGTGACTGGCCCCTCACTGTAGGTCACTAGTACTGAAGCAACACTGCTTGTCTGTGCTAAGAAGTGTCATAGATACAACCAGGAACAGTGAAAAATTTGCAGGAGAGGACAACGGCACACGCTGAGGAGCAAGGTGCAAGCCTGGATGGAGAACTCAGTCTGAGACAGACTGGTGTGTGAGGATTGCCCCTAGAGTGCTGGCCATTACCACATCCACCCAGAATGTTTGTACAGGAGCATGTGGCCTTGTGCAATAAATTGACATTGACAAAAGTGCTCCTGAGTTGTACACTCAGTCTTTTTTTAAAAAGCATTTAAAGTACAATGATTTTTTAATTGGGGGGGAGGGCATCGAGAAAGGGTTCCTCTGTGTCCCAGCTCTCCTGGAACTAGCTTTGTAGACCAGGCTGGCTTCCAACTCACAGAGATCTGCCTGCCACTACCTCCTGGGATTAAAGGCGTGTGCCACCACCTGCTGTGAAATGATTTTTTTTTTTAATGTGTCTGCATTGGTTAAAGAATTTGGACATGCCTCCTTACAGGTTTGGTGGTGTAGTTTTGGTTTGGCATTTGTGTAAAGGCGGTTGTCCAAGTAAGGAGGGGACGGAGTTGAGAGTTAAAAACAGAAGCACTGGACTGAGCAGTGAAAAGGTGGGAGGAGGGGGATGGGGAGCTCCCTGTGCCTGGAGCTTTGCTCAGCATCCCTGGGATCTCCACAAAGGGGTGCAGGAGTCTTCATCACCCACAGGGCCTACCTGGGTGTTGCACTGGTCCTTTGCTTCCGTGTCCATGGCAAAGAGCTTCTCGATCACTTCAATCTTCAAGTGATCCTCCAGAGATGAGTAATAGTCCTCAGGGCTGCTGGGCTAGAGACGGAGAAGGAGAGGACCAAGTCAAGAACATGGTGCTTGCCTCCCCAGAAGTTCAATGTAAGCAGACAAGCGTGTTTCCTGACTCGTTCTGCCCCCATTCCACCAAGCATCTATGAAGGGGGCTGCTATTTACTAGCTGCGTGAAGTAGATCCTCTCACCAGCCTCTCTGAACCTTAGTCTCCTCATAAGATGTTTGCATCACTTCCTAGAGCAGTGGTTCTCATCCTCCCTAACTCTGTGACCCTTAATATAGCTCCTCATGTTGTAGTGACCCCCAACCATAAAATTATTTTTATTGCTACTTCATAACTGTAATTTTGCTACTGTTCTGAATTGTAAATATTTGTGTTTTCTGGTGGTGTTAGGTGACTCCTGTGAAAGGGTCATTCAACCCCAGGGGTCACGACCCATAGGTTCAGAACCACTGTCCTAGGGTGTCTTGAGGTGCAAATTGTATAGAGGCTGTGGCCAGCAGGGCTCTATGACTGAAGTCTTCTGTTTGCACAGAGACCAAACTCGGTTCTTACTGCAACTTCAGGCATCACTACTTCGATAGGGGTGGAAGACAGAGATGAAGAACCAGCAGTCAGCTCTGTAGTCACTGGCAGATAAGTGTCCCTCCCAGTACTGCAGGGGCTGCTACAATAACTTGAGGGGGATAGTATTTCTCAGAATGCCTTTCAGTCATCTGGTAGCAGAGCATGAGGTCCCCTGCTCTGTGTGCTCCCCCGGAGGGTGGGGCTCACCGTGGAGCAGCTACTGCTGCTTGTGGCACTGGGCGTGGTGTTCCCTGGGGTGCCCGCCTGGGGCACAGTGAAGGCAGGCAAGCTCCCGGACTCACTCTGGGCACTGTGGCTCAGCTCTGCAGTCCATGGCTGGCCTGGGGGCAGGATGGCCTTGCCATATGCCGATGATTCGTCAAAGTTCTGGCTTCCTATAAAGACAAGACATGCTTGGTGAACATTCACGGGGTCTACCCTCAGCCCAGGGAGGAAGAAGCCTAGAAGCTTCACAAAGGTCCTGAAAGGGTCCTCCTGAAAGTGGGCCTGGGGTTGACACCCTCAGTACCTTGGAACCTAGGACCAAAGAGCCGTTGACCAGAGCCGTGATTCCATTTAGGGACTCTTTATTAACAACAAGAGTTTCCAACAGCATTTGCCCTTCAGGGATGACTAACTTACTAGAAGCAGCTGTCCCCTGCAGAACACTCCAGAATGCAGATGAGGAAGTTACCAGAGAAGGACAGGGCCATTTGCCTTAGTGTCATCAAGAAGCTGGGGTTTGCAAGGCATCTCATGCAAGGGTTTGCTGCCCTTTGGGATTCTCTGAGGTATCAACTTTCCTGTGACCTCTCAAATGCACACATCAAAGGGGGCAAGCAATAACAAAGACCTGTAGTCATGGTTCCCTCAGGAAGGTTGTGAACTGTGTAGGCCTTTCCATGTACACTCCAAGAAGTCAGAAAAGCTGAGAATTCTGCTTGGACCACAGTGACTGTTCTAGTAGAGACAGCCTTGAGGGCTTCATCCTGGGCCTGAGTCTTCTCCCCACTGGTATTTCTGGCATTATTCCTTCTATCATTCCTTATCCTTCTGCTTAAATAAGGGCACTCTCTTTGAGGTGATAGATGAGGGGCTCTACCGTCTCTCTGGATATGCCCAGAAAGGCCTCGCTCCCTCAGCTCAGACTCTCACAGCCAGGTGGAAAATGGAGTCCTCTCATAGCCCGCCTCCTTTTACCCCTTCATGAGGGCATATAGGTCAGTGGCCAGGGAGTTTGTGGCTCTTTTGCACCTAGCAGAGCCTGACCACGAACAAGTGATTGGCACATGGGCAAACGCCAAGTGTAGCTCTGGTTTAGAGAAAGTGTGGCTGTGAAGACTTGTCATAAGAACTATTCCCAGTCTAAGAGGGTTCCATGGTTCAACTAGGGCTTGGAAATACCCACCAAAATCCAGAGAAATAATGGCATCTCCTGGGGTGGGGGCCAGCTGGGCCAGCTCCTCGGGCTCCTCCTTCAGCTTGGTGAACAGGTAGTTACTCTTCTCAGATACGGCTGCATCGCCACTGCTGTCAAAGATGTTATTCATGGCCACCAGGTGGGGCTTGAACAGGGATTCAGTCTGGTCCATGGAGAACACCACATCATTCTTCTCAATCTCACTAAGGGTACGAGAGAGCTGGTCAGAGTTTCTGCATTTTTTGTTTTAGCCAAAGCCTTTTGCTCCCTTAGACATATAGGAAGCCTGATCGCTAAACCTTGGACAAAAGAGATGGACAGGGATAGCGGGGGTGGTCCTTCTGTGTATATGATTGTCTTATTGGTTGATAAAGTACTGTTGGCCAATAGGTAAACAAGGTAGGTGGGACTAGGAGTCAAGGAGGATTCTGGGAAAGGTAGAAGAAAGCGCAGAGTCACCATGTGAGCCTGGGAAGACTGGACACTTCTGCTGGCATCCACTATGTCTTATAGAATATATAGATTTATGATAATTAAGACTGAACTAACAGATGAGAAATCCTAGTCTTTGGCCAAGCAGCATTTGCACCTAATATAAGTCTCTCTGTGTTACTTGGGACTATAATGTGATGGTGGGCGGAACTTGGGCGGAAAGCGCCCACATGGCAGCAGGGCTCAGGCGGCTTGGTGGAAAGACTTATTGTTACACAGGGATACTGTTGGCACGTTGGAAAGAATTGAAGTCTGGGCCACGGAAGCAGAGACAATGAGAGTGACCTCTGCCTATGGGCTGTTTCAGATGGCTACACTGTGCTTGAGCTGCTGGCGCACAAGACGCACGGATGCTATATCAGTTTCCTTTGTATTAGCAATGGCTGCCTCTCTTGTTTTTCCCAGGGATGGTGGTGGTGGGAGGGGACCACATCCACGTTTCCCGAAAAAGCACAACCAGCTGTCTTGCTTCCCACTCACACGATATTAAGCAACTACTATGTACAAATCTTCTCCCCTTCACACAAGACAGAGACATGACACCGGGACAGACAAGGCTTTACGAAAGGTAGATCAGACATCTCCAGAACGCTACTCCTAAGATCTCACTGTAAAGTATTCTCAGAAGGAGCCCCACTGCAAACAGCTTTTGCAGGAGGTCGTGCCCAGGGCACTGAGAGGCTGGGGGGCTCCTCCCCTACTCACCTCAGGACATAGTTGACACACATGATACACTGGGGCTGCAGGTTGCGGGGATTGTAGATGACTGTCCCCTGGGTCTCCAGCCACACATAACCTCCGTGTTTTGCCAGCATCCGGTACTGGCCAGACACCACCTGCCCCTTGGTGCACACTAGGGAAGAAAGGAGGCAAAGGTGTGAGGCGCGGGGGTGGGGGGGGAGAGCAGTGTGCAGTCTACACTTAGATCCCACAGGGAGCACCACCTGCCTGGTGAAGGGGGACAGACAGAGCTGCCAGACAGACACTGCGGACTGGAAAAAGTGAGCTGGGAAGGTCATTGTAGCCAACGCTCCAGTTTTAAAAAGAGGACTAGGAGGCTCTAAGGGAAGCGGATGACTGCCTTCCCAGCATGGGGAGTCATCATTCTGCAGCTTTGCCATGCCCCCTCAGCCCCCCTTCCCCCATGATCAGACCCCCAGACAGCTCAGTGGGAAGTATCCTACTTTCCTCACAGGCTTCACGCTCTGCAGGCAGTAGGGGCTAGATCGCATCTTGGAGAAAGGTCAGCTGCAGGGATGTTGACCCCCCCCCCCATCACTCCCTGAGCGTGAAGGAACAACAGAGGGCCTCATGCATGTTAGGCAAGTGTTCTACCCTACTGTGGAGTTACATCTCCAGCCACTGGTTTTTATTTTGACACAAGGTCTCTGATTGGTTGTGAAGGGTTGCCATAAGACCCAGTTGAAGTCTGTTTTTTTTTTTTTTAATTTTTAAAACCATGACCTTTGAACTTCCAAGGCCATCTGTTATGTCTATTACACCTTAGGTGGTGGAAACAGTGTGAGACAAATACTGTACCCTTCAGCTAAGATCAAGACCTAAAACCCAGGACCAGTAGTCTCTTCACAGCCTCTTCCTTGGCCACTGGAAGTTCTTTAAACTTGCCTCCCAACTACTCACTGAGGCTACTGGCTTAGAGTTCTTTCCTCCTCTAGATTGTTCTAAGAGTTTACTTTCACATGTGTTATCACTGTCTAAAAACACCAGGGGAGGGGTTCTACATCCTAGATTGTCCTTGTCCCCATTTCCAAATGCATTTTCCATTTTTGTTCCAAAGAGATCAAGAGCTTCTTTTCACTAATGTCTGCCAACTTCAGAAATGTCTGCTAGCTTTCTCAACTGTCCATTCAACTTTCATCCCTTGGGAGTTCATTGTTTAGAGCTTGAGCCCAGAAGGGTCCAGGTTTAGAGAACTGGGGAGAGGTCTGATGAGGAAGTCTTGCTGACTTGGGGACTTTGGGGAAGGAACAATCTTGGTGTGGTTTCCTCCTCTGCAAAATTCGGTATTGAGAATAATTGTAATGTTCATCGGTGTTATTATTAATTATCCAGGATGCTACTGCTGTTCATAAGGATCAAATGGACTTGCCCACCTCATCAACTACACAGGCGTTGTTTAGAAGTCTCCTCTTCCCCGAGCTGAAATGTCCAGTGCTTAGGTACTGTCCCAGTTATAGCACTCAGAACTTTACAGGCAATGTCTCTGGGAGCTCTATGGGAAAACATCCAAGCTCCCTGTAGACAGTCTCCCCAGGTTTCCTGGTCAGTTCATAGGCCATCTATCTTCCTATTCATTGGTCCTGCATAGTAGAGGGACACAGCCTTGTTCATAGTAACGCTGATCATAATCTTTGTGTCTTGGCACTTCTTACCCTCTCAAAATCTTAACCAGCAGCAGTGAGGGGCAGGAATGGCTGAGAATTACTTGTATGCATTGCTCTGCAGAGCCTGTAGCTGCCTTGTGAGAGGAATTCAAGTCCCTGTATCCATTAGCTCAGGGCCTGTGGAGACCAGAGCCATGGTCGCCTCACTTGACAGTATGGCTTATCATTAGCATGTGAAACACCCATTTCACACCTGCAGTGGCTGCAGCCCCCCCCAAACCTCCTTTTCCTAAATGTTATTGCTGACTTGTACAAAAGTCTCAGACTTAAGAGTCTAAATTAGATTCCAATTTTCAACCTTATTTGCCTTTCCTAAACAAGCTTTGTTGGATTTTTATTTACCTTCCGTGGAAATGTACCCATTTTAAGCATATAGTGCAACAACTGTGGATAGCTTTGTAGCCAGTACCTCAGCAAAGGCACACAACACTTCATCTCCCCCAGAGCCAAGGTCCATATGCCTAACTAATCCTGGCTCCACCTCTGATTCCAGACCACCACTGATCTTTTTCTATTAGCATCTCTTGTCCTTCCTACACTTATTGTAGGGTTTATTTCATGTGCCTGGCTTCGCTGTACTTGATTAGTGTGTTTTTGAGTTTCACATTGCAGTAGATGTCTTGTCCTCCCTTTTTCATGAGGGAGTAGTATCTCATCGTATGGATACCATGACTAGTTTATTCCTTCATCTGGATTTTTGAGTTTTCAATTGTTGAGAATAAAATCGCAATAGCCACCTGTGTTCAGATCTCTGTTTGAACATAGTTTCATTTCTCACAGGCATGTAGCTAGAAGTGAAAATTTTAGATTGAATGCTAAGACCATGTTTTTATTATCAGAGGCAGCCAAATTATTTTTCAAAGTGGTTGTGTCATCCTAATCTAATCTTTTAAGTGGAATATTGTACTGCAGGGAGGGGTGACACACCCTTTAACATGAGGAGACTCAGGCTAGTAAGGCCATGACTCACTTCACATTGCACAGGACAATAGGAACAGCATTTATGTCATCTTTGGATTCCCAGGGCCATCGGTCCTCCCTGACTACATTATGTTGAGCCCAGAAACAAGTGAGAAGGAAAAGTCTGCTATGGCCACTTTGTTAAACCGTCATGGGTTCCTTGGGAAAAGAAGGAACTTTGGTCTTCTCTGTTGTCCCTTTCTTGGTGCTAATGGAGACCACCTAGCTGCAGGGAAATGATTCTTGGACAATTTCAAGTCTGGAGTTAACTCATTTAGACAGTTCTTAATGCAAGCCACATCCAAGGCTCTTAGTCTTTTTGATGAAACAGCTCACCAAGCAGAGGTTGTAACTGCATTTCTAGTAATTGCAGGCAAGGGCCTGCTCTATCAGTAGAATCTTATTCACACCAGCGTCCTAATCATCTCATTAATGCCAGCCTTGGTGAGGGGCCTGCTACTTGGTAGGGAGATAGGCTTTTTATGGCCTTTAATCTTGTTTTCCTAAGAGCACAGCAAAGAGAGACCGCTCCAGCCCCCCCTTTGAGAGTAACAATGTATAAATTATTAATCCATTTGGAAAGGATGATTTTCAATTATCTAAATCTGGTTGAGGACTGAGCTTCTCCAGGCATTTTGATGGGAAACACGTACAGGCTGAGACACGCACAGGTGAATTGGAGACATGTAACTTAGACTTGCTTCGAACCTGACCTCCACCTCAGCAGGGGATGAGTGCCCGTCTATAGTGCAACTGTATTTGCTTAGATGGGGGTGGGGCGTGGGGGATGAAGACAGACACAATGTCACTCCTGACACTGACCCCTGTTTCCAGCCCACATAAACTTGGCTTGGCAAAGTGCTCTTGGCTAAGCAGAGGCCTGTGTGCTCAGAGTGGGCTTTACCTAACTCCACTGGGAAACAACAACAAAACCAACCAACCAACCAACCAACCAACCAACCCCCCCCCCCCAGTCTGTTTAGACTGTGAGTTATCGTTAAGTGTGCTGGGGATTAAATATACAGATTAATTAAAAACAACATCCAACAAAAAAGTTTTTCCCACATATGTCCCCAGGAGTCAGCTTCAAAACTTTTTATAGATTCAAGGTGTTCTCAAGGGGAGTAGCTTTTCCATATGCCCAGTGAGATGTCCATAGCCCCCCTCCCATTGACTGTGTTCTTCTGTTCACCCTTCCCCAGAAGACAAAGTACAATACTGTCCTCCAAGAATTCCCAGATTTAAAAAAAAACAAAAAACAAACAAACAAACAAACAAAAAACCCCTTGGCCCTTGCCTTAGAAGGCTGAAGAAAGAAGGAAGTCAGACTCCAAGGCACTGGCTGGTGAGCGAGGCCAGAGCTGGGTAGAGCACAGCTGTCTCTCTCTACCAACCTGCTGTGGGAGTGGGGAACCTCTAGGAAACACAAAGACATTTGGCTCCTCAAGAGAAGGCTGAAATCTCTAGCTGGGTCACAGTCATGTCGTTCAAGAATGCTCTGGTGTCTCTCTGCCATCCCTGTGTCCCTGTGTGAGTGGGGCTGGATGGAGTCTATTGTCTTTGGTTTTTGTTGTTGTTGTTGTTTGTTTGTTTTTGCTTCACAGTGGAAGATTTGTTTGAGATACTGTAATGGTCCCTGCTATGTTAGTAGATCAGATGAAACCCAAAGGTCACAGGGAGGAGAGAGAAGTGTGAATCTAAAAGAGAAGTCCTCTCTCACTCCCTCCCTCCACCCTCCTTCTGCTGCTCAGTTAGTAGATCTGAGCCCTAGCTGTCCTGACTGGGAGACAGAGGAATGGCAGACAGAGTCGGGACTAGGAACCAAAAGCCACACATCTGTTTCCTATGTTGTCAGTATGGCTGCTAGGAAGCTTCTCAGGGTTTTACCCATTTGAATCTCTTATCCCACCCTCTCATCAACCCTGACTGTACCAGTGCCATGCTTGGATGCTCTCTCTCCCAAATATACTTTTATTTATGAGATGATTGTTCATTTGATGCTTGTATTGCCCTGACACTATGAGATGCTATGTTAAAGGTCACCCAACTTGGGGAGCTCAGCCTCCTTTCCCCTCCAAAACAAGACCCCTCAGGGAAGAGATCAACTCTACCAATTCCTAGTCCCCAGAGAGCCAAGTACAGGTTCATACATTGTGATGGGTTTTATGGATTCAAAGAAATTACCCTGGACTATCTAAAAATGGGAAGACTACATATTGGGAAGGCGGCCAAGGGAACACTACAGAATCACCCTGTCCAAGAAGTTGGCCACATGCCAAATAAAGCTACTTACATTCTTTAGAAATTCAACTTAGAAAAAGTGTCTCATTGCATCAGCCACATTTCAAGTACCACCTAGGTCATGTGTGGCTTATGAAGATACAGAAAGTTTCCATGATAGAGATCCTACTGGACACCTCCATTCCAGAGTCTCTTGACTGTGCAGGCTTTCCCACATGCCTACACTGTGCTGTCTGGATAGGCTTCTCCCTTAACACTCTCTCCTGTTTATCCCCATCCTCCTCTACCCTTACAATTGATCAGTACAAGCCCACTTTCTTCTGAACTCTCCCAGGCTCTTCTTCTATGCTGAGGTACTTGTGCTCCAGCACGTTATACACTGACTTGTAAGTCAGTTATACACTGACTTGTAGAGATTTTTTTCAGGGCTGCCCCTGATGGTTGTATAGAATGTTGACTACCTAAGAGGACCCCAGAGTCTTTTCTTAACTTGCATAAAAGCATTTATAGGCTGGTGGCAGCCATTATTCTCTGACCATCTTGATGGCATCTATCTTATCTGCCAACCAAGTTGGTGACTCTGGGAAGGAAGTAAGCAAGGCTATGTCTTGTTAACCATACTCCTCAAGGGCAGATGACAAGAACACAGGGTACTCTAGGAACTCACAGTTCTGGTGACTTTTGGTCATGCTCTCCGAGTCCAGGGCATGGTAGAACTCATAGGCAGAGCGGCCAAGTAGCTCCTCAGGGTGGTAACCAATCAGTTCCATGATTCTGAATTAAAAAGAAACCAACAGGTGATGAGGGAAGACCAGATGAGCTTGGCAGAGCAAGCAATCAGTAGCTTCAGAAGCTCAACCAAGTATGAAGTACATGCCCTGGTCACACTGTTTATTCATTCAAGCAAAATCCCATCACACTGGGCCCACAACTGTGGTTTGTCTCCCGGCCCTACACCTCCTGCCCTTCCCGAAGTCCTATCCCAGAGGACTCCACTACATACACAGATCTATCTAAGAAGTCCTGGGGTCAGGAAGGGTCCGCATAGCCCCACATCCTGGTTCATACAGATGAATTCATGGAGATCCAGGAGGGCAGAAAGTTGTCTTGTTGTCCAGGCAAGTACCCAGGTCAGAACAGGAACAAGAGCTGAGACTTCCTGACTCCCATCGTGAGCTCATTCTAATGGCGGGTGAGAAAAGTTTAAATGGGAACCCTGTGACCCAGGTGGGGAGACAACTTGGCAAGGAAGAACCAAGCAGGGTGAGCCACCTGTGCTATAGTGTCACCCCCTAGATGCTTCTCAGGTGCCATTTGTGACCCTAGGTACATCTCTAATGGCTGCTCTGCTCATCTCTCCCCATCTCCAGGAGAGGAGTGGACAGTGGTTGCTAAGAGGAGGAAACATAAAACCAGTCTTTGCAGATAAACAGGCAGCAAGGCCAGAACAGAGTATGACTGTACTGAGTGTGGATGTGTTCGCTCTGTTTGGCATCTGGTTTTGGTGGGAACTGGGCAGGGGAAAGCAAATATGGGAAACTGTGGCGAAGCATTGAAGCCTTCTGTGTGGAAATATTTGAGTGAACAAAGGCCTCTCCTAGGACCACTGTGATGGCAACCTTCTGTGTCACATGTCATTCCTGTGTACGATGTCTCCATGTTTGATACTTTATACATGTTCTCTCATGAGTGTCCTGTCCGGTTTACTCAGCACAAATCAGAGCTGATGATAGGGGCTCATTAAGATAGTCCTCCTGGGAAGCACACCCCCTTGGACACAGTTGTCTCCCACTTCCCCTGGGCAGAGGCTAAGGACAAGGAGAGGAAACCATAGGCCCCGTGTGCTCAATTTGCTGTTCTGTATCCTTTCTACCCCTGTGGTAACATGCATGTGTGTCTCAGACTCTGTCTTCTAAAGGACCATGTTAGGCCTGCTGCTCTCTGGACTAGGGAGAGCTGCCAAGGTTACAGGTGTCCCCAGAGTCCAGTCTTGGTTTCCAAGCTACTTTTTAGCTCACTTGCAATGCTCCATGTACCCTTGGTCCTGGCCTCCTCTCCTCTAACCTCCTGCAAGCCTTAACTCCTGCAGGGTCAGCCTGGGGCCTCTCTTTCTCCACAGAGCCCCTCCCCCACAATTCCTGTAGGTCCTGCAGAGAGTCCCAAAGACCACGTGCAGAAAGCCTAGGAAGGACACATTTGTCTCTTACATCCTGTGCTTTCTCCTGTTGTCTCCACCACAGTGAGTGCTGGGTAAACACTCAACTCATGTATATCCTCTTTGTATCTAAGGTACAACCGAGGCCTGCCAATCCAGCACCACTAAGGAACCTGGTCACTAACTGTCTCCTTTCTTTCCTTAAGCATGACTGACTACCTCACTGCAACCATGTTTACATGTATGTTCACATGCCATGGACACATGAACACACACACACACACACACACACACACACACACACACACACACACCCCTCTAGCAGCCCATCATAATCTTCAGTCTATCCTTCTATCCCACATGGTGCCTGCTATTATGTAAGCAGAGGAGAGGTAAGTTTTCTGACTAGGTACAATGCCGGAGGTCCAAGTCTTTGTCAAATAAAGGTTAGTTCCACCGAGCAGAAGGCTATGGGCATCTCATTCAGCCCTGTGGTGTGCTTAGTGAGAGGCTGGCTGAATATTTGTGCCAGCTGCCATCTTCACAGCAAGAGGATTCAACTACTTGGTCTGTAGATCACTGGCCATGGACGTGCTACCAGTAGCTTTGACCTTGGAGCAGACATTCAAAGGCGCTTTAGCTGCTGTATGGTGTTCTTGGTAAGTCAAGTACATTTTAAACTTTGCCTGGGAATCAGAACTGTAGTGAAAACAGGATGACCACTTACAGGGTCACTGATTGCTAAGTCTGACTGGGCAGAGGCAGAATTCTCTAGAAACCCTGAATACTGACTCCACTGGCCTTCTAAGAAAGAGGTAATTCTCTTTCCTGAAGGAATCCCATTTCCTTTCATGATTAGGATCTTTCTACCAAAATGCTCCAAGTAAATATTATAATTAGCCACACAATAAGATGTTTTTATCTAATTACTGTATCATCCATTCAGAGGCACACAATGGGCAAGTTCTGGAAGACAAACAAACCTAGGTTTCAGACTTGCCAGTTATCTTCCCACTAGGAACTTTTCATTTATCTTGTCAGCCAAAATAAATATTTAATATCCCCGCTTCGCTCCTTTAAAAAGACTCCTGTAAAAACTGGGAAATACACACAGCCCAAACAATCACAGAACATTGGGTCGCCAGACGTCACAAAGCCAGGAAGCCCCAACTTAAAGCTAATGGCCATTTGCCCCCAACGGCAGGCATACCGACGCCACAGGGAGGTTAAAGAACTGTACTTGTTTATAGGGTTGCTGCTACGGCCCGTGGGGCCTTCCCTGCTCATTTCCCTGGCTGTGTATGAACGGGCTCTGATAAGAGTGGCAGCTGGTCTCTCCATCAGGGTGGAGCAACCATGTCTGTCTTCCTAATTAGAGATCCTTGGCTCATTGGAAGAAGAATCAGTTGGGGTCACCTGTAAACTTGAAAGTCAACTCGGGGCTGATCTGAGAGGAGAGGGCAATGTAAAAAGATGTAATTCATCAGCTCTCAAAGCGGAGGACAGAGTGTATTCTTTAATGTCAAGCAGAAAGAGAAGACGGCCAAGGATGAAGGGAGCAGAGACAAGGCCGGGCAGCTACCAGGAGTCAGGAGAGAAAGAAAAATAGGAAATAGACAATGCATTGGTTACTTGGTTCTGAGGCCAGTGTTACCCCAAGAAAGCACGTGGTGGACTAGACACTGACTCCAGCCTTCAAAATGAGATGTGCCTGTAGTGTGTGAGATGACCTATTCATTGCCCACAATGCCTCTATTCTTAAAATGGTCTACAAGTATGACTGGGGAGATGGCTCAGGGAGTTAAGTGCTTGCTGTGCAGGCATGGAGATATGAAAGCTGCTACATGGCTGAACCTATCTGTTCAGAACCTGGGTGCTGGAGGTAAGGGGTGGTGGTACGACGGGCAGATCCTGGGAGCTTACCCGGCCAGCCAGTCTAGCCAAAGCAGTAAGTTCCAGGCTCACTTTGAGAGTCTGTTTCAAAAACCAAGGTAGAGAGTGACAGAGGGGGGACAGCCACTGTTGACCTCTGACCTTCAAAAGCATGCCCGCAGGCAATAAACCCATACATACATGTACGCACAGATGCACACAAAATAAGGTGTGGTATGTTAAAATTCATGTCTAGAAGTGCTGTATAGCCTATCAGAACAAGGATAGGAAGGGAATTATTTTCTGAGTGTTGTCCCCTCAAGAGGCAGGAGAAACCAGCCACATGCCTCACGGGGCTCCCTTTATCCATCCCAGCTGTTAACCACCTTAGGTTGGTTCACGCGAGCTCCCTGGCTGGAGGCTAGGGAAGTTTGGATGCCGTTTCTATCCCTGTTCCCAACAGAGGTAAAAGGTTTGCTAAGTAAGTTAATCATATAAACAAGATGGCTATGGAGTGTCTGAACTCTTTATGAAAGCAAAGGTTTTGAGTACTTTTAAACCACCTACTTTTTCCCCCAAGAATGTTTCACTAATAAACGTTGGCCCTTAAGACTGACCTTTCCTTCAGCGCCTTAACAACCCTTAAGACACTCATTTTAGATTCTGTACATTTATAAGCATTGGCAATGCATTTCTTTAATGATACCTAGATTATTCACTGCTCAGATATCAAGACCTATTCATTTTAATACATTTTATATAGACTGTATTTGTATACTGTGTTGTATAATTTGCCCTAAGTAACAGCACTTAAACCTTGCCACTCCTTAAAATATTGGCCAGTTATATTAAAGTCTATACAGCCAACACTGGGGTTAATGAAAAATCAATTTCTACCCTCTTTGTGTGATGTGTTGTCTGTCTGGAGGGTGAAGTTACACACCAGAAGGTAGCCTGGTCTCTATTCTAGACCAGCCCTACCCTGCATGACACCAGCTATCTTTCAGTAGACAAAACCCCACAAACGGTACAAGAGAAATGTGAGAAGCAGATCATGGAATGGTTTGAACTGTGAGAGCTAGGAAACTCTGAGATAAACTAGAGAGAGTTTGTAGGGCATTTCCAGCAGTCCAGATGAGGCAGGACAACATGCAAGTATTTTTTACACAAACATGATTAGGGCTGATTCCAGAACATGGTCAGCTGAGCAGATAGATACAAGGACACAGAGCACATTAGAGTCTAACTTTAGGATCTAAAGAAGCACATGATAACTCCTGAGAGGTATGGGCCCGCAAAAGTACGTAGGATCAACCAGAATACATGCACTGTCCCTGCAAGAGAGAACCTTGAAATTAAGATTATACCATCCTAGAGAAAAAGCAGCAAACAGTTTATGAAACATCTCCAATATGCAATAAAAGAACATGATATTCTACAATCAATTTGCTTGAAATCAATCTTTTTTTTTTCTGACTTAAAACACCTCATAGCAGTCTTCACACCTTTTGATTCTTTGTAATTTCCTCCTGAAAACTGCATTGTATGTGTGTCTGTGTGTGGGTGTGCACACCATGGCATGTGTGTGCAGGTCAGAAGATCACTTGTGAAAGTTAGATCTGCCCTTCTGCCATGTGGGTCCTGCCTGGCGGTTGAACTCAGGCTTGGCAGCAGACGCCTGTCTTAGCTGAGCCATCTCACTGGTTTCTTTTCATGGGCTTCAACTCTTCTCTTACTTCATTCATCTTATTGTTCCTAAGCTCTCTGAATAAAACGAACTCACCATAAATCTTTTTCCCCCAAAGATTTAATTTTTTGTGTGTGTGTGTGTGTGTGTGTGTGTGTGTGTGTGTG